TGCAAGGACTCAGAGATGGCCTACAGTTTGACCGAATGCATAATATATTTGCATGTTCACAGTAAAATAAAACATAAATGTTGTATTTGTCTATGTATGTGTGGGTGGACTGTGTAGATCCCTTAACCCTATACCTGTATAACAAACAATATATTTATACCACAAATGAAACCAAGGCACAATTGTCTGAAATCATTTTAAGCTTAAATATAATCCAATCAAAAAAACAGACGCCTGACATCTGCTGTTTATGACATACCTCTCTTACACCGGTTTGGTTTTGATTAGATTACTTTGCGTGCACTGATGTCTGAACTCTACAAACATTCAAACAAGCAAGAGAACAGTTTCAGAATATTACAAATATTCACTCCCTTGGAAACATGATTTCCTGAACACGACATTCCAGAATCACAGTGTCATTCAGCTCTTCTGATTAAACCCTGCAAACATCTAATTAAGTCCAGCCTCAAATGCCAGAGATGAAATCTACGTTTCTATGAAGTTTCTCCAAAATGAAGACTCGTGATAGCAAGATATGGATGAAGTGCGGCACTTTCCATGAATACACAACACTTTCATGGGCTGCTTTTCATAAAGGTATTGGATATGAATATGTACTTTAAACAAAATAAGCTACTTTATATGCAGCAAAATAGCATATTTCAATATTTCAAAATGTGTTAAAAACATAAAATAAATTTACTTTGACCTTAGGTAAATATTTAATATAATTTAAGCTATACTACTATATTAAAAATTTATTTTAGGACTTCTAAAAAAAAACTACTTTACGTCTGTAATTATTGACGAATGACATACCCACAGCAAAAAAAAACTAAAAAACAAGTGATAAGTGTGCCTTACTTAAAGTAACAGCCCTAAATTGTCAAATTTATTTAAATGCATAATTATACAAAAAAATTATTAAGTCAACTTAACAGCTCCAAGATGTCTTTATAAACTTGCCGCTTTTAAAGCAACTGGTGTAATCACTTTTTTAAAGTCAAATAACTAAATCAGTTTTTACAGTCTACTTTGTTCTATGTAAGCAATGTTTAAAAATTTGTTGCATAGACAGACAGACAGACAGACAGACAGACAGACAGACAGACAGACAGACAGACAGACGACAGACAGACAGACAGACAGACAGACAGACAGACAGACAGAAAGAGAACGATAATTAGAACTATAGACAGAGAGATAAAATGATAAAGACTGACGAACGGACGGGCAGACAGATGGATAGATAGACAGGCAGATGGATAGATATATATAGATAGAATGATAGACACACAGAACAATAGATAGAACGATTGATAGTAGATAGCTAGATAGAATGGACGGAGGACGGATGGAAGACGGACGGAGAGAGAGAGACAGAGAGAGAGATGAACGGACGGACAGACAGATAGATAGAACGACAGACAGACAGACATATCTTTAAACGCACATATTGGTATTCAGTATCAATCATACAGTACAGCACAAAAAAAACTAAGTTTGCAAAAGGTAGAAAAGACATATAACTCTGTATGAAATAAATTGTTTTTGATGTGTTAGTTCAGCTTGTTTTCAGTGTAGCAGTGATGTTTCAGTGTGGCAAATTTGATATTTAAAACAGCAGGGGGCAGCACTGTGTCCTAGATTCTGTACACCCCGTGAAAACAGTCCATTAAACAAAGACAACAAATACAGCTACAACTGTAGCTACTGATACTTGCATACATGGTAAAATCCCCAATCTCAGACATTAACATGATCTCCTAAAATGGTAAAATGTCATAAACTGACTTCTGATGCATTTGTAGCAACTAAAACCACTTTTGTTGAGTCTGGAAAGTATGCATTAACATAACACACACACACACAGACACAGACACACGTGCGCACAAGCACACGCACACACACACGCACAAGCACACGCACACACACACACACACGCACACGCACACACGCACACACAACTATAACAAAACATACTTCATTCTGTGGAGCTAGAGCTGGAATTCTGCCCAAAACACCATTATTTAAAACAAGACAAAGAAGCTGTTTCTCATCCACTGGTAGATACTGTAGCTAGTAGTGTGAGGAGTTGACCTATAAAAGAACACATTAAAGGGATAGTTCACCCATGAAAAAGTACTTACTATTAAGTGTGCTTTCACATTTGTGGGTCGGTTCTTTTGATTCGGATTATACATTGTAGCATTTCTCTGCCGTTTTTGGGTCCGTTTCATACCACACTGATTGCTTTGGTCCGAACCAGTTGAAAAGAACCAGAATGCAGTCATGTGACAAAATCCACATCAATCATTGGCCAGATGTTATTGAACATATTTTCTAAACTGCTTTTTGATTGGTCAGAAATACCGTACGGGAAAATGCCAATGGAACTCCCACACGTAAACAAACCGGCAGACACAAAATGTCCATTTAAACTATAGAGGGACGACTGCACTGGCTGATTGCATCCCTGCTCATTGTATACTATATAGTTTTTATACATCACTTTAGATAAACTATACATTGAGAATGAAGCGAATGTGAATTTATTTAGCTAAACTGAGACATTCCGGAAATATTACCAGGTAATGTCAAGGTACTGTTTTAGTTCAGATCATGTTTTCACCACAAATAAACCACTACAGTGTTCGTTTAAAAGCTCTTTAAGGAGGTTCTCAGTACGCTTCTTTAGTCCGTTTTTGGTGCGCATTTGAGTGCGATAGCTACAATCACACCTGCCCAAACGAACCGCACCAAGTGGGAAAACGAACTCTACTGCGATTCAACCAAACTAAATAAGGCACCCTAATGTTGAGTTCAGACTACATGACTTTCAAAGTAGTCGTGTCACAGATGTTTCCACACTGCATGACTATCTGGGCCAGTTTTTTGCTGCTGCTTTGTTTACACTACAAGATGGATCGGTGACAGGGGCTTTCACATTGCATGACTTTACAATGGGAAGAATCGCCAACAACTTTGTCCAAACTATGTCTCACAGCCAAAAATATGCAGTTTATCTTTTGTTATTATCTACATAAATAAAAAAATAAGCTTTTAATGGGGTAGAAAGTATACATATTTGCTCACCTGGGTTGAAGGAAATTACCAATTGCTCCTCAACTTTCTTTTTTAACTTTCTGTATGAAACGTCAAAGAGACATGGGTGCTTCTGTCAAACCTCCACTAGTTTTTCCTCCATTTCTTATGTCAAAATAAACCAAAAATGAGCGCTTTTAACTTCTTTTTCAACCTCCCGCTGGCCTGCAGGTACACACACACACAAGTGAATACTGCTCTCTCATTAGCTGTAGGCGATCGCAGATGTTATTTTCAGCCAAAACTCATTTCACACGGCAGGATTTAAATCGCCGACGGTTCAAAATATTCTCTGCAAATATCTCACAGGTATCGGTGACTAATCTGCGATTCTCTCAGATTGCGTCTTTGATTGTTCATACTCTGTGATTGTCACTCATGTGCATGAGCACCGATTTTCCTGTTATTTCAGACATTTGTCTGCGATTTCTCAAAATCTGTCGGCGAGTCAAAATCAGGGCTAAAATCATGCAGTCTGAACTCGGCAAAAATCACCAGTGGTGGAAAGAGTACTGAAAAATCATACTTAAGTAAAAGTACCATTACTTGCCTAAAAATGTAGTGCAAGTAAAGTAAAAGTATCTGTTGCAAATATTACTCAAAGTATGAGTAAAAAGTAGACATTTTAAAAGTACTCGAGAGTAGTGAGAATTACGCTGTAAAAAGCTAAAGTGTAAACGTAACTTTCTGTAGTTCATTTAGTTATTTGCCCAGCAGGCACACAACATCATAAGATGTTAATATTAGGTTAGATTTAGGTCAGGTGATGCAGGTGGTCAAAATTCAATGTCTAGCCAGCGTCTAAGAACAACATTCTTTTGATGTCCAACAACAACATTCTGTGTAAGATAGTGACCAAAATCCAACAGAGCCAACATCTTAAACAAAGGTCTTATTGACGACAAATACTGACATTTATTCTTCAGGTATGGCAATCAAAATTAAACATCTGACAGATGTTATAGTGTTAACGTCCACACAACGTCAAACTGTAACATCATTAATAATTGATATGTGGTTGATTTTAGATTGGACATTGATCCAACCTAGAGTCATTCAAAAGCGCATCTACTGGACAAATGAATAAACAAACCCTCGTTAACATTATGTACATGCTGTATGGTTTGCACTGAGTTAAAGTTCTGATGTTCATGAATAAATGCCATGTCTGCTATCGCTGTAAAAAGCAAAAACCTAAACATATTACTCCAGCTTGATACAACTACATGGATTAATTAGTTTCCACTTAATTTATTATGACTTTCAGAAATAAATAAGTTGGAAAAACTTTATTCATTTAGGTGGAAGAAGCAGAGGTGGAAAGAGTACTGAAAAATCACTCAAGTAAAAAGTACAGTTACTTGCCTAAAAATATAGTGCAAACTAAATATGTTGTAAATATTACTTAAAATATGAGAAAAAAGTAGCCCTCTTTAACGTACTATAGAGTAGTGAGTATTGTGAGTAAGTGCCCTTATAAGACAGAAACCCAGACAGCTTTGAAACAAGGATGACAAACAATCGCAGAAGTTTCAGTTTGGTGTGAACTATCCCTTTAAGTTTTTCTTCAACGCATTTAAAACAAATCAAACACACATAATTACAAGGTCGCCAAGACAACTGAAAACAATGTTTTATTCTTCCTTATGTGTTACACAACTTACAAAGATGATATATATTTGATTACATACTGCAAGTTCTCCGAATGACATCACAGCACTCCAGAAAGTCTCTATTTTGTTTTATGCTGTTTTAACGTGAACTAAAAGGTGCAATTTGAGCTACTCTGGATAAAAGCACAATATACTCCGTAATTACAACAGCGCTCAGGGAATGAAGAAAAGAGGAGAATAGTGTGTGCGTGTGTGTATGTGTGTGCGCGGTGAACGAGAGGGGGGAAGGGCCACACATGAGTCTATAAGAGCAGACATCAGCTTTATCCTTCTGTGACACTCACTCAGGAACGAACCCGAACAAACTCACACACACATACATACACACACACTGATCCTCGGGATGGCGACACAGAAAAAAAGCCACAAAGCTTCATATTGCGCCTTCTTCATCTGTCTTTTTGCCGTCTTATTTCAAGGTGAGTAGTTTACTTTTGTTCAGCTGCAGCTCGTAAGCGAACTTTGCGTCCCTCAAGAAGTTGTATTTTAAGGAGGAGCATTAGCATTTCAAGAGAGCTTTGTTAATGTAACTTTGAGCAACTATTGGACTGAAAACTCGCTGCTATAGCCTAGTAAAAGTTCCAGCGCTTTCTGTAATGCACGCGTTTCAGGAGTCCCGCTATAACCCGCCACACCCCTTCTGCGCATCACCGCAATACTCGTTAAATAAAGCTGATGAGTTTCCTCTTGAGTTAACGGTTTGGGATCAATTGAATCGCTCTCTTTCACTTAGTGTATTTGTGCATATATTATATCGCCAGGTGGCCGTGTGCGTGTCTCTGTGTGAAATAAAAAGTCCATCTGTTGTTATTCCATTAGGCATAAAGATGATTTTGTTAATTTGGTGGAGTATGAAGCGTCCAGGTGTTTTGAAGACCCTGGGTAGCAAAAGTTGTTGACCGTATGATGTAATACACATTTCGGAAACAAAAACAAACACTGATGTTTACAGGAGTGAGAGGGAAACTACATATAACGGTGGCAGGAATCTATTTTCTCAATCTATATATTTTAAATTATTAATAGGTCTACGTTGTTGCTTTTAAAGAAATATATATTTTGAGTTAGAACTAAAATGTATTTTTTAAAATATGTATTTTCATAATCTAAACATGATAGCATAAAAATTAATAATTTATTAACATTAATTGCATGCAGAAAATAATGTTTAGCCACATTTAATAGAAAATAATGGCAAGTGGTGCTCACTGCAGAGCCATTGGGGGAAGACAAAACAGGGTTTTCAAGCTTCTAAACAATGTGTGTATTTTTGTGTATTATACTGTTTATTTTTTAAGATAAATGTAATATGATATACAGATGACACCCATTAACAAAACATACAGTGTAATAAGTTTATATTTCATAACAAAAATCAATTAAATAATTTAACCATTTGAATTCAGCAGATTTATATATATATATATATATATATATATTAGTTCTGTTATTTATTTTAAAAAATTACCTAATTAATACATTTTTTGCAATGAATTGATTAATCGCAATTCAAAGACTGAAACTTGTAATTTTGGCTATTCAAATGTAAAAGTAATGTAAACTCAAGATAAAGGAACTATTTTAATTCAAAATATGATTTTGGGGCATAAACAACATGTTGCTGAATGAAAGTGAAACTGCCAAACTGCAGTTAAAGTCGAAAGATTAAAAGAAAAACACCTGAAATTACATGAAATTCTGAAGGGAACGCTGGATCTACAGAGATCAGTCTACAGAGATTTCCCAGTATGTCTCTGTTGCAGTTAGATCTCAATAATTAACCCCCAAAAAGCCAAAGCAAAGGCAACACTACCATATTACTGTTGTGTTGGCAAAAGGAAAAACGCTAAACACATGCAGGCATTTCTTCTTTCTTTCTTTTTACTGAACTAATCTACTGTAGCGAAAACAGGAGACTCATTAGATGAGATTAGACTAAACAGATGGCCAACCAAAAAGTAAGTCATACCTTACAAAGAGTGGCCAACACAAAATACATACATTCCTGGTATGCAAGTTCCATCACACACTCAATACACTACAATTACTATGGTATAAATACAGCACTGCAACATACAAAAGAGAGAGAGATCAACTTCGAAACAACCAATTTTATAATGTCGTGATCAGCTGTAGTTTAAAAATACAAGGATCTTTTCTCCTCTAAGGGCTTATTATGCCTATATGAAAGTCAACGTCAACTGTCTTTGCTCTTCTTAATGACAGGCTAATGGATGCCGACGTGCTGTCTCTCAGAAATTATAAATAATTAAAATAGGCACTATCTTTATAAACAAACTGCATAATTGCAATCGAAACAACTACATTCTTGCCTAAAAAGCCTAGTACATTATGTTGCCCAAGAGTTGCAATTTTTGTTAAAATTTAGTGAGTTTATTGATCTGCTGTCACTCTGTGGGCGGAGTAATACAGAAGGGTGAGGAGGCTGTACAAGTTCTTAAGTATTGTATATTAACCATATTTGATATTTTGATATAAGATACTAAAGAACACATTTATTTGCATTTAATTCTGTTATGTATTCTGTGTATACAGAAACATTGTCAATCAAAATATATATATATATAAATCCAGACATCTTTTTTTGACCCAAATATTAATGCATTGCTAAGCATAATTCTTTAACTCATTGCGAAGGCGTCAAATAAAATACATGGCTCAGCTTCTACACTATATGCCTGCTTTGTTTATTCTACAAGACAGTTTTGGGGCAAAGTGTGCGTTCCCTTACCAACAGCAACCAATAACAGCTCTCTCCCTTATTGGCTGAGGTCCCATAACTGAGCGATAGCTTTGAGGGGGTACGAGCTCTGCTGATAATGATGCTTTGGCAGAGAGTGAAGGCATGAGCTGCTCTGATTAGAAACATAAGTGTCTGTCTTCCCTCCATATGTCTTCTGTATGGGTGGAGACGATGTGTGGCCCCCTTCACTCCTCCACTGAGAGAGGAAGAGAGAAGGTCAGAGGTCACAGAGAAAGAGATGGAGAGAGAGGAAAGGTTCAGAGTTCCAGAGTTACATTCCTCCTTGGCTTTAACTGGATTGTTTGAGTCTCAAATTCCAGCATCCCTAAGGGAGTGTTCAGTGTAGCAGCAGATGACCAGGCATCCTTCAGTCGAGCACCGCTGAACTGAACACTGTGTGCTTTACCATCACCGCTGTCTCCAGAGAGAATGACAAAGAAAAAATACACTGAGACGAGACAGTTAAAGCTTTGGGAATGACAAGAACGCTCGGTTGGTTAATATGTGGTATAATGAACAAACCGTGATCAGTACTTGTACAGCTTTTATTGAGCAACAGTAGTAAACAATTCATTACCTTTTATCAAAGTTGTCCTAAAACTATTGAACGACACATATACTTGTCCTAGGACAATTTTTTAAACACATTTTTGATTCAATTGTTGACCAATGTATATTGGTAAACAGGTCTTTTTATTGAATTTAAAAAAAAAAAACTTTAGTAGTTATAAACTAAAGATCCTAACACAACAACTTACACATATACAAGAAGAAAGTCATAAACAAAACAGTAGATAATACAAGGTGAAATAAGGTAGGTGGATGGATGGATACAGTAGACAGACAGACAGACAGACAGACAGACAGACAGACAGACAGACAGACAGACAGACAGACAGACAGACAGACAGACAGACAGACAGACAGACAGACAGACAGACAGACAGACAGACAGACAGACAGACAGACAGACAGACAGACAGACAGACAGACAGACAGACAGATAGATAGATAGATAGATAGATAGATAGATAGATAGATAGATAGATAGATAGATAGAACGATGGATGAATGGATGGATGGACGGACGGATGGATGGATAGATTGACGGATAGATAGACGGATGGATGGATAGATAGATATATCATTAAAAAGAAAGAAAGAAAGAAAGAAAGAAAGAAAGAAAGAAAGAAAGGATCTGTGTCGCTATTATGGCATCGACAAACTTAGTTGGTAAAAAAAGTACAAGCGTTAGAGCGAAAGATTGAAGCAGTGTACTGACGCTGTGACACGTTACCTGATAGATTCAAAAGACAAAAGAGTCAATAGATAGAGACAAAATTAATTAAATATAACATTTAACAAATATACTGAGACTCAATCCAGCAGTACATTTCTGATCATCTGTCCAACGTGCACTGCTCTTTGGGGTTTTGTGCTCAAAGCACCCACTGACTGCATGGAGCTCAGACGCGCACATATGCTGCAGTGCATGCCAGAGTGTGTGTGTGTGTGTGGTCACGTGACCTGCGTTTACAGCGGCATAGTGTTGATGGAGATTTTTTCAGAAATGCTATATAAAATACCAATGTAGACGTGGATTTTCGTTGTAAAAGGGCATTTTAAAACTAATACATATTAGTGTAAACGGGGCCTAATTGTGTATTTTTCACCAGTGGGTTGCTGCCTCGATGGAGGCCAGCTCTGCATCGTGATCTCTATTGGCCAGTGCCAATGAATGATGGCATTGTCTATCAAGCCAACTCTAGTTCTACGCATAAAATAGTCCATTTTTGATTCTGAATCTTTAGGTTCAGTCGCAAAAATGGCCCTATGAATGTTAAGTGGACCACAACTAAATTTTAAAAGTTAATATTCACCCAAAAATAAATAATTTATTTTCCCTTTATGATTTTTATTTTTTATATTGAACACAGAAAAATATATTTCAAGAATGCTGCTTGCTGGCACCCATCGCTTCCATAGTAGGGAAAATAAAGACTATGGAAGTCAATCGATGCTAGAAAACAGCATTTAAAAAAAAAAAAACTATAAAAAAAAAAAAAAAAAAAAATATATATATATATATATATATATATATATATATATATATATATATATATATATTCTTCAGCATTCAACAGAAGAAAGAAACTCAAGATTGAACAAATGAAGGCTGAATAAATGATCACAGAATAACAATTTTTGGGTGAACTATCTACTATTGTGAACACCCCCCAAGTGGTTCCTAGTTTATTCTGAATGGATGCTCGAGAGTTCTAAATCATTGTGAGTTAACAAAAAAAGGCAATTTCCATGCCTTGGTGATGATCTGCTTCTTTAATGCATGTAGTTCCCAGCTACTAAAAAAATGTGTGTTAAAAAAAGGAAATAAGCCCAAGATTAGAAGACCTTTTCAGTGCCTTTTCCAGGCAAAAGTGGCAGATGTACTTGAGACGGAGGTTGATGTCATATGCTCGTACATCTGCTGCCGTGAAGCTGATCTCTCATAGCAGCTGACGAACTGTCAGTGTTATCAAGTGTGAAGCAGGGCATGATGTAGCGAAGCGTGCTGTCGAAAAGCTGCGATGTGGGACATCACGAGCAGCCTTGAGGATCACAGTCCAGATGCAGAACACACATTCTTTTCACACA